TTAGATTCAATGTGCAACTTCAGACTTTTTACTTCAGTAGCAACGTATTCACACAGATCGCAAGGATATCTCACACCTAGATGTTTTTTTTCAATGTGTTTCTTCAGATTACTTGGATGAGTTGCAGCATACATACACTGGCCACAGGGATATCTAACCCCTTGGTGCTTACTCTCAATGTGTACCTTCAGATTTATTGCTTTGTTGGCCACGTAGTTGCACAGGTCACAGGGATATCTCACTCCTTTATGTTTAGATTCAATGTGTAGCTTCAGAATTTGTGAATCAGTATAAACGTTTTCACACTGATCACAGGGATACCTCACTCCTTCATGCTTATTTTCAATATGTTTTTTCAGACTACCCGGTGTAGTGGCAGCGTACTCACATAGATTGCATGGATACCTCACTCCTTTGTGTTTATATTCAATGTGTAACTTGAGACTCTGTACACCAGTAGCATTGTATTCACATTGATCACAAGGATATCTCACTCCTTCATGTTTATTTTTGATATGAATCTTCAGATAACTTTGGTTAGATGCAGCATATTCACATTGACCGCAAGGATATCTCACTCCTTCATGTTTAGATTTAATGTGTAACTTCAGACGCTGTACACCAATTGCAGTGTATTCACACTGATCACAGGAATACCTCACGCCTTCATGCTTATTTTCAATATGTTTCTTCAGACTACCTGCTGTAGTGGCAGCGTACTCACATTGATTACATGGATACCTCACTCCTTTGTGTTTAGATTCAATGTGTAGCTTCAGACTCTGAACTTCAGTAGTAGCGTATTCACACTGATCGCAGGAATATCTCACTCCTTCATGTTTACTTCTTTTATGTCTTTTCAAATTACGGGACTTAGTTGCCACAAAATCACATTTTGCACAGGGATAACTTTTATCTCCCAGCTTCCTCTTTTTAAGCCTCTTTTGTTCAGAGAACAGGGGATCTAATTCAATCTTGATATTTTCAACTGAAAAATTAAAAAAAGAGAATTAATAAGATATTAAATTAACCTCAAGTATCTTAAATGTTTTGAAATTTTTAATAATATCTGAAAGTGCAGTCAATTGAGGTAACAAGTTTACAGGTGTATGAGCCCAAAGTTCTGAATAAAATCAAAAATCAATCATCCTAAAAAAATAAATGTAAAAAATCTTTACCCTTAATTTGATTTTCTGTAATTTCCTCTTTTACATCTTCTCCCACTACATACACAGTAAATGTATCCTCTACAGTAGAGATTTCTTCTTTGATGGTAACTTTATCTTCTTCCATAATTTCTGCCATTCTTTTTGAAATATGTACAAAACATGTTATGATTTTAAGACGACTTTTTATAAATCTTTCACATTATTAAGATGACATCTAAACTCTGATTGATTGAATACAGCTCTAATTTCTCCAGAGTAGATTAATCGATTTAACACAGCTCCAATATCTCCACCAGAATAGATTGATTGATTGATTAAACACAGCTCTGATATCATTGGTTGATTGAACAAAGCTCCGATACTCAGAGTAAAATAATTGATTGATTGAGTAAACACAGCACTCATATTTTACAGTAGATTAATTATTTGAACATCATAGTTCCAGTGTCTCCAGAGTTTGAGTAGTTTGGTTGATTAAACATAGCTCCGATATATCTAGAGTAAATTAATTGATTGAACACAGTTCCAATATCTCCAGAGTAGAATAATTGGTTGAACACAGCTCCCATGTCTCCAGAGTAGATTAATTGAACAAACACAGTTCAGATATCTCCCGAGCAGAGTCATTGATTGGTTAAATACATCTCTGATATCTTCACAGTGGATTTATAGATTGATTACAAAGTTTTAATATCGTAAATAGGTTTGAAAAACCATACCAGTAATCTAAAGACCGACTAATTCTTTCAGTTCTGAGACTGTGTACGTTTTACATTTTTCTCCTTTTTGTGAGACGTGATTCTCATTTTCTTGTTGTCCTCTTTCTTCTGGATGTAGATAGAGCCATTCTCATCACTGCTTAAGGTGGTAATGATGTTCTTCTTCTTCAGCTGCCGAACTTCATACAGGAGATTGCTTCGAGTCTTTGTTAAGTGGAAGTTCAGGTAACAATTAATGTTTTTATCCCCTCCAGTTCGAATTGAGTTAATCAGATTTTGCCATGGTGAAACATTTGTTCGCCTCCATATTTTTATAATAATACTTCCAGTGGGCAGACGATGACAGGCTTGCATAATGCACATCTTCTCTTGGTACCTTTACCTTGTATTTCTTGTTTATGATATCTGTCACCTGATCAGGATCCTAATTCTTCATCAGATTTGATGAGCGAAGGGCTACTTGAATCAGACTTAGAACAGGATAAGAGCAGGGAACCCTTTAGTTGACGCTGCTTGATTTCATCAATCTCATCATTTGCTTCTCTGTTCCTTATTCCCTCATCACTTGTGGCACTTCTACTCTCTAGATCTTCCACTTTTTGTCTCAGGAAGTGCACCGCTTTAACGAGTTCGTTGATAACAATGCCAATATCAGATGTATAAGGAGACTTGTCAGCCTTTTCCCCAAACCCAAGACCCTTGAGTTTCTCCAGGATTAAATAAATACTAATAACTTCCTTTTTTACTTCAGAGTTAGGTTGAATGTTGTTCTTTTCTTATACTTTCTTGACTTTATTTCTAACTGTAGTGGCAGCGAATTCACATTGATCACATGGATATCTCACTCCTTAATGTTTAGATTTAATGTGTCTCTTCAGATCACTTGCTGTAGTTGCAGCTTACTCACATTGATCGCATGGATATCTCACTCCCTCATGTTTATTTTCAATATGTATCTTCAAATTACCTGATTTAGTGGCAACGTATCCACAATGAGAACAAGGATATCTCACTCCTTCATGTTTACTTTCAATATGTATTTTCAGACTACATGCTCGAGTGGCAGCGTATTCACATTGATCGCAAGGATATCTAACTCCTTCATGCTTATTTTTAATATGTATCTTCAAAATACCTGCTGTATTGGCAGCATATACACATTGTTCGCATGGATACCTCACTCCTTTATGTTTAGATTCAATATGCTGTTTTAGAATCCATGCCGTATTGGCAGC